CTTCTCTCGTTGGGGCGGGGGGCAGACATTGCTCCGCCCGGCTGCCCCCACCTCCTCTTAGTACCATCTCTCACTATTGCTTCCCAGTGGACTTGAGCAGCTCCTTCAACCTCCTTAATGTCTTGTCTGTGCCTGCTACCCTTCAGTGGTTGCAAACAACCCCTCTTCCTTCCTTGATTGCTCTTCTGTGCCTGTCACCTCCAAGTTTTGGTCGGAGATTGATTAAAAAAATATGATTTCAAATGTACTTTTCTCATAAGGGAATTGACACTACATTTAGCTCTCTCACCTCTGACCCAAGAGACACTTTCCTAGGGAAATTTTTAGTGATCAGCCACAGGTGTTCAATTCATTGTTTTTTCATTCTGATATCTCTTGAAATGAATCAGGCATTGGTTGTCACCGGTTATTAATAGCTGATTTGTTCACACAAACTGAGAATCACTTTCAAGCAGTCATTTGGTTCATTGTACATATTTCGATTCTCTGGGAACAATTCTTACTATCAGCCTATTCTTGCAATGAATGTCATACATTTTCTTTAGAGATGTAAATTAACTTCATTTAGTTTTAATATATCAGCTCAATGTTAAAAAAAATGTTATCTTCTTTAGCATTCTGAAAAACTGTAATGCAGTCATATAATGACAAAATGCATATCCAGTATTTGATTTTTGGTCAACCAAAAATTGACTGGTTCACTTGAATATATGAGCTTTTCTCTTGAGTCTTCCCAAATTTATCTCAATACACAATCATTTTTCTTTTTTTAGATTTGGTCCCATAATGGCATTTTCAAAAATAAATGACAACTTCAACTCATTTGCTTTGCAACAAAATTCTGCCTCTGACTCAAACAGTGAACACCAAAAAGGTTTTTGATTTCTTTAAATGTGCAAAAGAAAGCAACAAACAACAATATTTGTCAGTCTTGCTTTGCAGAGTATAATTTAACTGCTGAAAAATAGATGTGATTTTTTATATCAATGGCAAGAATATTGGCAAAAAGCATTTCTTCTTACAGTCAGTCTATGGTTTTCATCAAAATAACAAACAAGTGTTGCTATCCATGGTTGTTGAGTCATCTGCATCCAACAAAAAATATTTTCTTTAACATATAAGTTGCTTTTCAATGTCAATAGCCATTTCATCAATTTGCCAACTAACAGTTCTCTCACTTATTGGTAATATTCTACAAATGTCTGTTGGTTATGGTGTATCACGATCAAAATAAAAGTTTTAAACATGGTTTTAATAACTTTTGTACAATATTATGGTATCTCCATTTTTAGCAATCAACACAAATATTTGAAATGTTGCTGTGAGTCTTTGATTTTGTCTCTGTAATTTTCAAATGCTACAGTTATTCTATATTGTATATATTATGCATGGGGTTTGTTTGGTACTAAAATGTTTTTGCAGATGAGATAGCCTCATTAGAAAAAAATATTTATGGCACAATATATTGATATACTTTTATTGATTGGAGATTCAATGAAGGCATATGCTCAATATTCACTCAAATACTGATTAGAATATATACTTTCTTCTTTGGAGGTATCTTAGGGGCTGGAGGTATTTTGGAGGCCAGAGAAGTGTCATAAAATACAGAAAAAGTTAAATGTTCAATATTTGTCATGGTATTGAATGTTCATTGTTAGTGTCATAATATTGAAATAAAAAGTAAATATTTATGTAGAAATGCAACATTTGATTACAAATTACAAAAGTCCTAACCAATAATCACTCATGCATATTTGGTACAGGGTGTTAAACATATCAGTGGTACAGAACAGTCATGCATCATCACTTTTTGGTTTTGTCTGTGTCTCTACCTATGCATTAGTAGAACAACAGCCGACATTGTTAATACTTAATAAATACTATCTGTTGAGACATTTTGTGTTAATTAATTTTAAAGATTGACTTTTCCAAATTACGAATAATCCTTCTCAAACAAGGAGGAAATTCCATCAAAAATTAATTTGACAGAATTTCTTCCTTGTCTAAGAAGGATTATTTATAATTTGGAAGTCGATCATTAAATTTAATCGACATAAAATGTCTGAAGTTATTAAGTAAATCATATAAACTTCAATGACTTGAGGTTGCTTTGAAAAATTTGTCAAATTTTAAATGACTAATTTAGTCATCAAAACAAAGCTTGTGTTAAATTTTTAGGTAGTTACATGTTTTATTAAAGTTATTGGACTTATTATAAAATTTGCAGTTGAAGTTATTACACAAAACCAGAAATTACTTTTTACTTCAATAACAAAGTAATAAAATCATCAACAATTGTTCAGCGCCTAGAATGGAACAATTAACAAACATTATAAGTCTTTGAAACTTTTACATCTTAATATGGTAACCCTTCTTCTCAATAACAGCCAGCAATCCATTGATTTTTTTTTCAAATTTTTACTTCAGCAGTTCAATTTTCAACATGGTGATTTTTAATTTCTTCCCATAGGTTTGCTTTGTTGCCATATTGTTTGCCAACTTTCATATAATTTCATCTTTAAAATTGACCATAGATTTTTGACCAGATTCAGATTTGGACAATGGGTCATCCCAGGTTTTACAAGTTCTTGTTTTATTTACTATTTTCCATTTTACTTTTGAATAAAACACCAAAAGTAAAATGGAAAATAGTAAATAAAACAAGAACTTGTAAAACCCGGGATGACCCATGCCCTTTATGCCTACAGGAAAATTTCTAAATAATGAAAAATTATTAAACCATAGGCAGGAGTTAATGGTTTTTTGTCAATATCAACAAACCTTCGCATTAAATAATTAACATTAAAAAAAAAATCCCATAGCTAAATAAAAGTCTTAAAAGCTTAGCCAAATCATTAAATAGGAAAACCCCTTTTTGTTGTCGTCAAAAAAAAAAAAAAAAAAATTGAAATTCAGTGCAATGCGATTTGTATATAAAACACCCACTTGAATAAACAAATAAATAAATAGATAATCAGATGGACAATAATAAAAGACAATTCTCCAGACACATAACGACTTGTAGGTGCGCCATAAAAATGTCCCTCACTGGGAACCAACTAAAGGGTGACTGCAAACATTAGCCTTGAAATAGATACCCTACCCAACCTTAGCAAAGCCTCTCAGATGATGAATCTATTGATAAGAATTAACTCTCTGACCACTTAACGAAGGAAAATAGTCTAGCCACTCCCACAATAATGAAATTTGTAACAGACCATGCCTAAAAACACACATAAACCGAGAGATAGCTTATTCCTAAAATTTCACTTGAAGATGAAATGGGACTAAGCACCTCAATTCAACTTAATTTTAATAATTATTTGAATGGTTTCGGGTCTCATTTTTGAAACATGAGAACTATTATGTAGCAAAGGAATCATATTTTTAAACAAAAAATATTATATAGTATTTTAATTGGTCATTCCAGCTTATCTAACAGCGTTTCCCTTAGCAAGAGGTGTTTGATTGATTTGAACCTTTTAAAACCCTTTATTCTACATTCAACATCATCACTTGATAAGACACCAGAAGTGTTGAAACAAAATGGCTATTTTTGTAGTGATTTTATAACATATTTTCGAATAAATAATTATATATATAAACAAATGGTGTTTGCAATATTAGAAGTGATATCTAATTCATATAAAATTTTTAAAAACATTTTAATAAATATTTCCTCTTTGTTTATTTTAAATTCAAATTGTAAATATATATAATTTTTGTATGTAAGCAATGTTTTTCCTAACTTATTTTCAAATTAATCGGGTTTGCATAAGAATTTACATTAATCTCGTCAAAATTTAGTTCTAATTTAGAAAACTTACATAAAATCCTTAAAATAAACATTGTTGTCATCTGATATTTCACATTACAAATTATTCGAATGATGCTGAAACCATTTTATGGAATTATCTTAAGAAGTCAAAATAATCTGTTTGTATTTCCTTAAAACAGTACCAAATTATTTAGACAGGTTAAAAAAATAGTATGTTTGCTAAATTAATTTTTATTATTATTAATATAAATGTTATAAAATAATTAAAATGTTTCTCTCATGGTCAGTTCTATGTAGCTCTGTTCAGAGTTGGAAATTCAAATGGACTTAGCCTAATGGCAAAAAGAATTTCAGAAAATAGATGTCTTGCTAAAAATTTTCATACAGAAATTTTACAGAAGAGAATGTTTCTCTTTTTGCAGGACAGGTGTTCTTTTCTTTATCACAACTTTTGGCCTCTATATCCAACCTTCATCAGATGTCTGTTGATCTATGTAATCTTCAAGGAATTTCAAACTGAGCACTTATTTAATCTATAGGACTAGATTGTTCTTGCTCCTCTTCATGTCTAGGGATATCTCCTTTTGATCTTTTTTTTTTTTTTTGATACTGCTCTATTATTACATCTCTTTCCACAGATTCTAAGTCTGTAATGCTCAGCCCAGGGATTGAACTCGCAATAGCTATGCTACCAAATTCATATATTTGTGCTTTAATCCTCTAAGCTATTGTTAATGCATTGATGTCCTAGTAATCATGAGTTCAAACACTGGGCTGGGTAGTAATAGACCAGGACTAATTCAATAGAAAATGGACTAATTGTTGTTGGGAAGTTTGAAAATAGAATTAGTATTAAATTGCAATAAAATTAGAATGCCACTTTTTGACTGATTTAATTCGATTGAATGAAAACCAACCATCATGTCTTGTTTTGATTGATCTGGACAATCAGAAAGGTATAGTCTTTTGAAGAATTGAAAAATTAACACTTTCAAAGCAAAACATATGTCAGTGTCTATCCAAAGCAGTCCAAGAATTGTGCTATGGTATTATTCTCTATATAAAATGGTTTATTATAACATCAAATAATGGCACCCTATAAATTACTTGCATTTGGAAAGACTAAGAAAAGAAATAAAACAAATGATGATCTTATGTTTATCCTCTTACTACCAACAACAAAAAAAAAATTCTTATTTTGCTCTTGGATATTTTTCAGGTCCAGTTGGATGTGGTGCACGTGTTGCTTGGCAGGGAGACAATATACTATAGGTTTTCTACGCTTTTGCAAACAGGTGAGTAAGCCATATTGGTATCTTTCACACATTTCTTTCATTTGAAACATATGTTGATGTCCTTTCCTCTTTATTTACTTTCTTTCTTTCTTCTCTTTCCTCGTGCTGCACCTTGTTCTCTTTCTTCGTTCTTCTCTTTGTTCACCTTGTTCTCTTTCTTCTTCTCTTCTCTTTCCTCGTGCTGCACCTTTCTTTCTTCGTTCTTCTCTTTTTTCTTGTTCTCTTTCGTTCTTCTCTTTCCTCGTGCTGCACCTTGTTCTCTTTCTTCGTTCTTCTCTCTTTCCTCGTTCTTCTCTTTCCTGCTGCACCTTTTGTTCTTCTTTGTTCTCTTTTCTTCGTTCTCTTTTTCGTTTCTCTTTCCTCGTGCTGCACCTTGTTCTCTTTCTTCGTTCTTCTCTTTCCTCGTGCTGCACTTGTTCTTTGTTCTCCTTCTTCGTTTCTTCTCTTTCCTCGCACCTTGCTTTGCACCTTGTTCTCTTTCTTTTCTTCGTTCTTCTCTTTCCTCGTTCTTCTCTTTCCTCGGCTGCACCTTGTTCCTTGTTCTCTTTCTTGCACCTTGTTCTTCTCTTTCCTCTTTCCTCGTGCTGCACCTTGTTCTTTCTTCGTTCTTCTCTTTTCGTGCTGCACCTTTCTCTTTCTTCGTTCTTCTCTTTCCTCGTGCTGCACCTTGTTCTCTTTCTTGTTCTTCTCTTTTCTGCACCGTTCTTCTCTTTCCTCATACTGCACCTTGTTCTCTTTTCTTGTTCTCTTTCCTTTCTTGTTCTTCTCTTTCCTCGCTGCACCTTGTTCTCTTTCTTTTCTTCTCTTTCCTTTGCACCTTGTTCTCTCGTTCTTCTCTTTCCTCGTGCTGCACCTTGTTCTCTTTCTTCGTTTCTTTCTTTCCTCGTGCTGCACCTTGTTCTCTTTCCGTTCTTCTCTTTCCTTGCACCTTGTTTCTCTTTCCTTCTGCACCTTGTTCTCTTTCTTCGTTCTTCTCTTTCCTCGTGCTGCACCTTGTTCTCTTTCTTGTTCTTCTCTTTCCCGTGCTGCACCTTGTTCTCTTTCTCTTCTCTTTTCTTGCACCTTGTTCTCTTTCTTTTCTTCTCTTTCCTCGTGCTGCTTGTTCTCTTTCTTGTTCTTCTCTTTTTCCTCGTACTCTTGTTCTCTTTCTTCGTTCTTCTCTTTCCTCGTGCTGCACCTTGTTCTCTTTCTTCGTTCTTCTCTTTCCTCTTTTTGCTGCACCTTGTTCTCTTTCTTGTTCTTCTCTTTTCGTACTGCACCTTGTTTCTTCTTCTTTCTTCTCTTTCCTCGTGCTGCACCTTTTTCTTTTCTTGTTCTTTCTTCGTTCTTCTCTTTTCGTTCTTCTTTCTTCGTTCTTCTCTTTCCTCGTGCTGCACCTTGTTCTCTTTCTTCGTTCTTCTCTTTCTCTTTCGTTCTCTTCTCTTTCCTCGTGCTGCACCTTGTTTCTCTTTCTTCGTTCTTCTCTTTCCTCGTGTTGCTGCACCTTGTTCTCTTTTCTTCTCTTTCCTCGTGCTGCACCTTATTTCTCTTTCTTCGTTCTTCTCTTTCCTCGTGCTGCACCTTGTTCTCTTTCTTCGTTTCTTCTCTTTCCTCGTGCTGCTTGTTCTCCTTGTTCTCTTTCTTGTTTCTTCTCTTTCCTCGTGCTGCACCTTGTTCTCTTTCTTGTTCTTCTCTTTTCTCTTTCTTTCTTCTTTTTCTTCTCTTTCCTCTTGTTCTGCACCTTGTTCTCTTTCTTCGTTCTTCTCTTTCCTCTCTTTTTTCTCTTTCTTCGTTCTTCTCTTTCCTCGTTGCACCTTTTGTTCTCTTTCTTCGTTTCTTCTCTTTCCTCGTGCTGCACCTTGTTTCTTTCTCGTTCTTCTCTTTCCTCGTGCTGCATTTCTCTTTCTTCGTTCTTCTCTTTCCTCGTGCTGCACCTTGTTCTCTTTCTTCGTTCTTCTCTTTCCTCGTGCTGCACCTTGTTCTCTTTCTTCGTTCTTCTCTTTCCTCGTGCTGCACCTTGTTCTCTTTCTTCGTTCTTCTCTTTTCTCTTCTCTTTCTTCGTTCTTCTCTTTCCTCGTGCTGCACCTTGTTCTCTTTCTTCGTTCTTCTCTTTCCTCGTGCTGCACCTTGTTCTCTTCTCTCGGTTCTTCTCTTTTCGTGCACCTTGTTCTTCTCTTTCCTCGTGCTGCACCTTGTTCTCTTTCTTGTTCTTCTCTTTCCTCGTGCTGCACCTTGTTCTCTTTCTTCGTTCTTCTCTTTCCTTGCTGCACCTTGTTCTCTTTCTTTTCTTCTCTTTCCTCGTGCTGCACCTTGTTCTCTTTCTTCTTTCTTTCTCTTTCCTCGTGCTGCACCTTCTTTCTCCTTCTTCTCAGTTTTTCTCTTTCTGCACCTTGTTCTCTTTCTTAGTTCCTTTCCTCGTGTGCCTTGTTCACCTTGTTCTCTTTCTTTTTCTTCTGTTCGTTCTCTTTTCTTCTCTTTCCTCGTGCACCTTGTTCTCTTTCTTGTTCTTCTCTTTCCTTGCTGCACCTTGTTCTTTCTTTCGTTCTTCTTTTCCTCGTCTGTTTTCTCTTTTTCTTAATTTCTTCTCTTTCCTGCACCTTGTTCTCTTTCTTCGTTCTTCTCTTTCCTCGTGCTGCACCTTGTTCTCTTTCTTCGTTCTTCTCTTTTCTTCTTGTTCTCTTTCCATTCTTCTCTCTTTCTCGTGCTGTTCTCTTTCTTCGTTCTTCTCTTTTCTTCTTGTTCTCTTTCTTCTTCTTCTCTTTCCTCGTGCTGCACCGTTCTTCTCTTTTCTTCTGCACCTTGTTCTTCTTCTCTTTTCTTTCTCTTTCTTCATTCTTCTTTCGTGCTGCACCTTTTCTCTTTCTTTTCTTCTCTTTCCACCTTTTGTTCTCTTTCTTCTTCTTTCCTCGTGCTGCACCTTGTTCTCTTTCTTCGTTCTTCTCTTTCCTTCTGCACCTTGTTCTCTTTCTTCGTTCTTCTCTTTCCTTGCTGCACCTTGTTCTCTTTCTTCGTTTCTTCTCTTTCCTCGTGCTGCACCTTGTTCTCTTTCTTCTTCTTCTCTTTCCTCGTGCACCTTGTTTCTTTCTTTTCTTCTTTTCTCTTTCTTCTTCACCTTGTTTCTTCTCTTTCCTTTCGTACTGCCTTGTTCTCTTTCTTGTTCTTCTCTTTCTTGCACCTTTGTTCTCTTTCTTCTTCTCTTTCCTCGTGCTGCACCTTGTTCTCTTTCTTCGTTCTTCTCTTTCCCGTGCTGCACCTTGTTCTCTTTCTTCGTTCTTCTCTTGCACCTTGTTCTCTTTCTTCGTTCTTCTCTTTCTCGTGCTGCACCTTGTTCTCTTTCTTCGTTCTTCTCTTTCCTCGTACTGCACCTTGTTCTCTTTCTTCGTTCTCTTTCTTTCCTCCTTGCACCTTGTTCTCTTTCTTTTTCTTCTCTTTCCTCTTCTGCACCTTGTTCCTTTTCTTCGTTCTTCTCTTTCCTCTTGCACCTTCTTGTTCTCTTTCTTCGTTCTTCTCTTTCCTCGTGCTGCACCTTGTTCTCTTTCTTCGTTCTTCTCTTTCCTCGTGCTGCACCTTGTTCTCTTTCTTGTTCTTCTCTTTTCTCTTGTTCTTTCTTCGTTCTTCTCTTTTCCTCGTGCTGCACCTTGTTCTCTTTCTTCGTTCTTCTCTTTCCTCGTGCTGCACCTTGTTCTCTTTCTTCGTTCTTCTCTTTCCTCTTGCACCTTGTTCTCTTTCTTAGATTTCTTCTCTTTCCTGCTGCCTTCTTTCTTTCTTCTTCTCTTTCCTCGTGCACCTTGTTCTCTTTCTTCTTCTTCTCTTTCCTCGTGCTGCACCTTGTTCTCTTTCTTCATGGTTTCTTCTCTTTCCTCGTGCTGCACCTTGTTCTCTTTCTTCGTTCTTCTCTTTTCCTGCACCTTTTCTCTTCTTCTTTCTGCACCTTCTCTTTCTTCTTCTTCTCTTTCCTCGTGCTGCACCTTGTTCTCTTTCTTCGTTCTTCTCTTTCCCACTGCACCTTGTTCTCTTTCTTCTCTTCTCTTTCCTCGTGCTGCACCTTCTCTTTTTCTTCTCTTTCCTCGTGCTGCACCTTGTTCTCTTTCTTCGTTTTCTTCTCTTTCCTCGTGCTGCACCTTGTTCTCTTTCTTTTTCTTCTCTTTCCTGCTGCACCTTGTTCTCTTTCTTCGTTCTTCTCTTTCCTCGTGCTGCACCTTGTTCTCTTTTGTTCTTCTTTCCTTGCACCTTTTGTTCTCTTTCTTCGTTCTTCTCTTTCCTCGTGCTGCACCTTGTTCTCTTGTTCTTCTCTTTCTCGTGCTGCACCTTGTTCTCTTTCTTCGTTCTTCTCTTTCTCTTTCTTGTTCTCTTTCTTCGTTCTTCTCTTTGCACCTTGTTCTCCGTTCTTTCTTTCTCGTTCTTCTCTTTTTCGTTCTTCTCTTTCCTCATGCTGCACCTTTCTTTCTCTTTCTTGTTCTTCTCTTTCCTCTTGCACCTTGTTCTCTTTCTTCGTTCTTCTCTTTCCTCGTGCTGCACCTTGTTCTCTTTCTTCGTTCTTCTCTTTCCTCGTGCTGCACCTTGTTCTCTTTCTTCGTTCTTCTCTTTCCTCGTGCTGCACCTTGTTCTCTTTCTTCGTTCTTCTCTTTCCTCGTGCTGCATTTCTCTTTCTTAATTTCTTCTCTTTTCTTCTTGTTCTCTTTCTTCGTTCTTTCCTCGTGCTGCACCTTGTTCTCTTTCTTCGTTCTTCTCTTTCCTCGTGCTGCACCTTGTTCTCTTTCTTCGTTCTTCTCTTTCCTCGTGCACCTTGTTCTCTTTCTTGTTCTTCTCTTTTTCGTACTGCACCTTCTTCTCTTTCTTCGTTCTTCTCTTTCCTCGTGCTGCACCTTGTTCTCTTTCTTCGTTCTTTCCTCGTACTGCACCTTGTTCTCTTTCTTCGTTCTTCTCTTTCCTCGTGCTGCACTTTTTGTTCTTCTCTTTTCTTGCACCGTTCTCTTTCTTTCTTCTCTTTCCTCGTGCTGCACCTTGTTCTCTTTCTTGTTCTTCTCTTTCTTGCTGCACCTTGTTCTTCTCTTTCCTCGTGCTGTTTTCTCTTTCTTGTTCTTCTCTTTTTCTCTTTCTTTCGTTCTTCTCTTTCCTCGTGCTGCACCTTGTTCTCTTTCTATTTCTTTCTTCGCACCTTTTTCTCTTTCTTCGTTCTTCTCTTTCCTCGTGCTTGTTCTTCTCACCTTATTTCTCCTTCTTCTCTTTCCTCGTGCTTCTCTTTGTTTTCTCTTTCTCTTTCCTCGTGCTGCACCTTGTTCTCTTTCTTCGTTCTTCTCTTTCCTCGTGCTGCACCTTGTTCTCTTTCTTCGTTCTTCTCTTTCCTTTCCTCACCTTGTTCTGCTTTCCTTGTTCTCTTTCTTCTGTTCTTCTGTTTTCCTCGTGCTGCACCTTGTTCTCTTTCTTCGTTCTTCTCTTTCCTCGTGCTGCACCTTGTTCTCTTTCTTCGTGCTGCACCTTTTCTTCTCTTTCCTCGTGCTGCACCTTGTTCTCTTTCTTCTTTTCTTCTCTTTCCTGCTGCACCTTTTGTTCTCTTTCTTCGTTCTTCTCTTTCCTCGTGCTGCACCTTGTTCTCTTTCTTCGTTCTTCTCTTTCCTCGTACTGCACCTGTTCTCTTTTCTTGTTCTTCTCTTTCCTTCTGCACCTTGTTCTCTTTCTTCGTTCTTCTCCTCGTGCTGCACCTTGTTCTCTTTCTTCGTTCTTCTCTTTCCTCTGCACCTTGTTCTCTTTCTTGCACCTTGTTCTTCTCTTTCCTCGCTGCACCTTGTTCTCTTTCCTTCTTTCCTCGTGCACCTTTTGCTTATTCTCTTTCTTCTTCTTCTTTCCTGTTTGCTGCACCTTGTTCTCTTTCTTTTCTTTCTCTTTCTTGCTCTTTCTTTTGTTTCTTTCTTCGTTCTTCTCTTCTTGTTCTTCTTGTTTCCTCGTGCTGCACCTTGTTCTCTTTTCGTTCTTTCTTTCCTTCTGCACCTTGTTTCTTTCTCATTCTTCTCTTTCCTCGTGCTGCACCTTGTTCTCTTTCTTCGTTCTTCTCTTTCCTCGTGCTGCACCTTGTTCTCTTTCTTCGTTCTTCTCTTTCCTCGTGCTGCACCTTGTTCTCTTTCTTCGTTCTTCTCTTTCCTCGTGCTGCACCTTGTTCTCTTTCTTGTTTCTTTCCTTTCTGCACCTTGTTCTCTTTCTTCGTTCTTCTCTTTCCTCGCTGCACCTTGTTCTCCTTCTTCGTTCTTCTCTTTCCTCGTGCTGCACCTTGTTCTCTTTCCTTCTTCTCTTTCCTCTTCTTGTTCTCTTTCTTCGTTCTTCTCTTTCCTCGTGCTGCACTTGTTCCTTTTCTTCTTCGTTCTTCTCTTTCCTTGCACCTTGTTCGTTCTTCTCTTTCCTCGTGCTGCACCTTGTTCTCTTTCTTCGTTCTTCTCTTTCCTCATCCACCTTCTAGAACAATAATTATTTATGACTCTCAAAGTAAATGATTTATCTGTCCTCTTTGGAAACTGTCTGTGTCAAACTGTCACATCCTCCATTCCCACCCAAAGTTTTCACAGGGATTATACCACTGCTAATGATACACTTATTAGATATCACACAGATTTGAATTCCCTTTAGAATAAATGAGGCACACATCAATTGTTTACAAAGAAAGACGGACGCATAATGGTCAGATAAATTGCAATGTGTGTGTATGTTCAATCCACATGTTACTGTAGTTGGTGATCACTCAATTTGTGGCATGTACTGAATTTATTGCCTTAGTAACAGAACCAAACTTGGTTGAACCATATAATCTCAGGGTGCTACCTTTTTTTTTTTTTTTTTTTTTTAATAATGTATATTTCTAGATGTATGTATACTCAGACTTAGGAGTAGACATATGCTTGTGTTTTGTTATACAGGGTGCAATGGATAAATTGTCGTCTAAATTATGCAAAAATGAAAATAATAGTGATATCTCATTTAAACAGATATATTTACCAAAAATAAGCCACATCTTTTTTGTGTTTTTCTTTTTTTTAAATTCTTTATAATAAATGTTTCTGCCTTGAGCCTTTCATGATTGGCTATAGAGTTAAAATGATGATTGAAGCAATATGACCATTAAAATGCACAGTGTCCTAACTTTCACATATGTCAGAAATTGAAAGATATAAACAAAACAATTGGGACCATTTACTTCTGTAAACTCATAATTGGCAAATTGATAATCCAATAAGAAAAAATGTTTTGGGTTAAAATGTCAGTTACTTTTTTTTTTTTTTTTTTTTTTTTTTTTTTTTTTTTTTGAGGCTTTTACATGGAGAAGCTTCTTCTATAGCAAATTGCAAACATTACAGAATTAAGCTGATACATGTCCTCCAACTGAGTTTACAATTCTTATATTATTTTTCATTCTGCTGCTTTTATTTTGAATTAATTTTGTTGCAGCTGCTAAGGATGTTACTTTAATTTTGCAACATAGCTGTAACTGTCTATATTTCTGAGATAAGGTATTATGTACATTATTCGGACTATTGTCCTCATCTTTGTTGCCATATTTATTACAACATTTCGACCACTGTACGCTCCGGCCTTCTTCAGGTGGTTGGAATGTCAAACTGAACCCTTTATTTCATTCACTAGGGTAGACTGTTCTAGTTCCACGTCTAATGGATGTCAGTTATCAGTTATCTCCTGTTAATTTCCATCTGAAAGTTCTCCACTGCCTTAACTAGGTATTGAACTCGTGCTCTTTGGGTCCTGTCACTGGATCTAACTAACGTCTTTATCCACTGTGCCATGTGTCCTCAAGGACACATAGCACACAATAGTCTGAATAATGTAAATAATGAACATAACTGTAATTGCTTTATAAACTTTGTAGCAATTGCTTCCCAAATCTCTGTAATGTTCTTCTGATTTAGTTTTTAATCTTGCCCTTTCCTGTGACAATAGACAGCAGTGATGCAACATTGTAACTTTGGCTGTTGTTACAACAGCGGTTAATTTCGTAATAAATATTTGAAAAAATGCAAAAATTTTAAGCAACTCTTTTAACCACTATATTGTTCAAAACATATCAAACGCTGCCATAAAACAACATTTGTTAAGTTACGATCTAATGTTATTTGCTTTGACACAAGAGATCTGGTACCTATCTTATATGCCAAAAGGGAGTTGTTGCTTCCTAGAGGTCTGCAATATTTACTAAGTACCATAGATTTTGTAGATGATGTTCTACCTTATTATCTCCTATTATGATGTCCACAATAGGATAAGATCTACTCATATATTTACTACATACAATACTCTTTACTTTGGGTTGCTGCACTAATATCTCTGCAACATTTATAAACATGTTAACAACTCTCACTGCACTTTTCCACACTTTCTCTCCTCCTCCTCCTCCTTTCTTTTGAATTGTTTCCTTCCTTTCCTGTTTACAGTTAGAATTCCATTGCATTGAGGAAAAGAAAGCAAGGAAATGTTAAATATTTATTTCTTTTTATTTAATTGTTACTTGTTGGCCCCCAACCTCAAATTTCATAGCATAAAACTTGTCTTCATTTTTTTTTTTTTTTTTTTTCTAATTCCCTGTGCATGCATGTACATGTGGTGCAGTGGGGTGAGGTGCATAAATACTTGAGTTTCTGCTGAAAGTAAAAGATGTCACAGCACAAACAAAATAAAGAGAAAAAAAAAATTTTTGTAATGAAATTCTTGATGATATCATGTGGTTGGAAAGATATATGTGATGAGGATCTCCTCACACACTATGGTGATAATGGCTTCGATAAAGATGTGGTTCTTATTTCTGCACTGATTAGCTGGAGAAGAATCGGGTTGTTTTTTTTTTTTTTCCATTTATCACTGACATCTTGAATTTCTAAATTGCAATTTTCTTTTGGTTTCCCCCCAACCCAATTTTTTATTTTTTTATATTAGCTTTATTTTTTACTATTTTAATTTTCTTTTCTCTCCTTTTTTTTCCTTTTCTCTCCTTTTTTTTCTCTTCTCTCCTTTTTTTCTCTTCTCTTCCTTTTTTTCTCTTCTCTCCTTTTTTCTCTCTTCTCTTTTCTTTTTTCTCTCTTCTCTTTTCTTTTTTCTCTCTTCTCTTTTCTTTTTTCTCTCTTCTTTTTTCTCTCTTCTCTCTTCTTTTTTTCTCTTCTCTCCTCTTCTCTCTTTTCTTTCGACAACCATTTTCCAAGCTTATTAATCCTGTTCTGTCCCTTAATTGCCCCTTTTTTAATTAACAGCTATTCCTGCTCTAAGTTTTAAAAAAAATAACCTTGCAACATGATTTTAAAATTTAAAAAACTGTGAATATCCCCATAAAATTCTTCTGGTTTGCTAAAATTCTTTGAAATATAATTTTCCATTGCATTAAGTGAACATTCACTCATCATAAAATCTGTGGAAAATACTGTTTCTCAAATGTTTTCAGATTTGCTTTTGGGATGTAGAATTTTTTTTTACAGTAAGGTTCACTCTGTACAAGGCTCTGTGGGCCACTCAAGATAGTCACGTTAGAAGGCAGTCTGTACAGATAGGAGGGAAAAATAAGTTAACCCTAAGTTAAGATTGTAGTAATCGGGGAGAAATATCCTCTTGGGAGTCAGTTCAACAAAGCAGTGGATTGCAAGAAGCTGTTCAAGTGGAACGTACTTCTTACTGCCACAATGTGTAAGTGACATGGCGAGTCCTTGCCATGAAGATTAGAAATGGCAAAACCAAGGAATGTAGTTCATCCAAGCACTTTCCTATCAAAGCAAGTGAGTGCAGTCAATATGACAACAGTACTTCATTTTTGGCCTGACCTGGCTCTTGTAAAGGTAGAAGAGTCAAGTGTTTACTGGAGCAGTACAAGGAGATGGCCATTTTACCTGCATCTTCAGTGATGACTCATATGCATGAGTTCCACTTGAGGTCAGGTGTCAGTTTAAGGCCCAATAGTCTCTCAAGGCACAGTGTGTCTCCGAGGAGAGATCAAATCTTCATTACTGGTCCAATCGGCAGTGATGGAAAATAATTAGTTTGGCTTTCAAAACAATGAATGTAACCAGCCAGTTTTTTCCCCCCCACTGAGTAGTTCCTGCTAGATTGGAAGAGAGGTCAGTTGCCAATCTCTGATCGTCAAGAGTTTTAGAGGTGTACCCGTATATAGTTGTGTCATCAGCATAGATATTTACAAATGAGCTGAGAATGTTCTTAGACAGATCCTTTATCTATATCAAAAAAGAGGGATGGCCCAAGAAGTGACCACTGGAGGATGCTTGTGTTGACTGCCAGGGAGGACTGGCTATTAATAACTACCTTCAAGGATATAATCGAGAAGAGCCTTCCAGTTATTCTGTAACTAGAGAGCTTGCATAGCAAACCTTTGTGCCACATATTGTCAAAAGCGTTTGAGATATGTGTTTGTTGTCGAGAACCTCACTAATTTTGTGAGTGATGGTAGTTAGGATGTCAGCAGTGGATCAGGTCAATTGAAACCCGTACTGCTCGTCACTGGAGAGGTGGTTCTTCTCTAGGTGCTTGATGAACTTCTTGTTGATTATAGCCTCAAAAAGCTTACTGATGATTTTAAAATGATATTTAGAGATAATTCACAGCTGCATAACACATAATTGCTTTTGTTATGTAGACACAGATATTTCATGTTCTCAGTTTATTTTTCCTCTTTTTAGGCCACCTTGCAATTTTGCATTATCAAACCTGTCATGGCTGTCATTACATTGGTTTTGCAATCTTTTGGACTCTACAAGGATGGCAATTTCTCGTAAGTATTCCAAAAGTTCTTGTGTATGCAATTATCTGCTTCATTTTACATGTTTTTGTCATGATTTTTGTTGTTAACAAATGTGTTCATTTGCCTTCCTTGGATGTCTGTTGAATCCAGTTGCTTAATACATGTTTTTTCTTTTTCATCTCTTCAATTAAAATATTAGAGTATAACAGAATCACCGGACTGGATGTTACGGTGTCATATTTATTAGTCTTAATCTGAGAACAGGTGTGATTAGAAAAGCAGCATAAATTATCAAGCAATCAACCCTTCTTGTTGACTCATTTCAGGTAATACTAATAATCTTGTAGCCAATATATATATATATATATATATATATATATATATATATGATTAGAAAGTTACTTTTAATTGAATACTTTTTCAAATTAGTATCTGAAGCAGTTTTATTTTTGTGTGTTTATATCTCTTATACTGCCTTGAACAGTTCACAATGTCCCAAAGTCTCCTGAATATACAGGAAAATCCTTGAACCAAACTAAGAAAATCTTATTTTCTCAAAACTATAGTCGGTACACTAATTTTATTTTATGGAAGGCCGTAGAGATAATTAGCTAATTTTTCATGTTTTCTTGAACACAAATTCTAATGAAATGTTCTTTGTTTTTAGACCAGCAAGTGGCTATCTGTACATCACCATAATTTACAACATTTCTATAAGCCTTGCACTCTATGGCCTTTTCCTGTTCTACTTTGCAACCAAAGAGCTGCTGAGTCCTTTTGAACCCGTTCTGAAATTCTTCACTGTCAAGTCTGTGATTTTCCTCTCTTTTTGGCAAGGTAAGTCCTGGAAATGATGCTTGAATTCGATCGCAATATATTGTCACTTCAGAATAGCCAAAACGACTTTCATTCTAGAAAATGATATTTCAGACTGGAATGTCATTTCCACTTAAAAATCTGCTTTAATTAAGAGAAAGCAATTTACTAAGACAAAAGTGTATAGAAAGTGCTTTGATTCATCCACAGTAAATTTGCATCCAGCTTCTCATAACATTTCACCTTTCTTGGCAAATGTTCCATTATCAAAATGTGGGATACTTAATAATAAGTGATAAAAAGAAAATCTCTCGGAAACTAAATTAAATCAGCTAGCCTAACCCTGCCCAGACATGTATGAGGGAGAAAAAAAAGATTAATTTAGAATTTCAGCATCCCAACATATTCAGCATTTCCTCTTGTTGCACATATAAAGGGTGTTTCATTAAGAGGGATCAAAGTCAGCAATAAATAAATCAGTGTTATTGGTGAAAATTTATTTATTTCTCTATTGGATCTTGTTATTTAAGTCATGGCAATTATGTGTGAAAAATAATATCGCCCAAATGTCCGCCAACGCTTTGGTGACACACCTCCACTTGATGGTCAAAATTTTTGATGACATCTCTGCATAGTTGCTCCTTCATCTCACCAATATGCCTTATTATCTCATCCTTCAACTGTTGAATTGTTGTTGGCATAGACCTTACTTTTGAGATGACCCCAAAGGACGAAAGCTAAAGGCGTCAAGTCACATGATCATGGTGGCCAATTGGCTTTGCTGTTTCAAGAGATGATGTGACCCGGGAACTTCTCATTCAATAAAACCATTGTTGCATTGGCTGTGTGGCATGTGGTGCCATCCTGTTGGAACCACAATTCTTCAACATCCATAGCATTCAATTCATGCCATAAAAAGTTGGTTATCATGGCATGGTATTGCTTACCTGTCACCGTAACAGAATTCCCGGCATTATTTTCAAAGTAATACAGCCCAATGATTCCACTAGTAAAAAATGCACACCAAACAGTGGATGCAATTGTCCTTGGATTTTCATCAGCTCAAATGCAACAATTATTCTTATTAATGAATCAACCAAGATGAAAATCCACTTCATCACTAAAGAGGATTTAAAAAAAAAAAATCTTCATCGGCTTGTCTTTGCTTGTGCACCCAATTGATGAATGTACGCGCTCCAAATTGTCAGCAGATTTCAGTTCTTTTATCAAAATTCAATGTAACATTGTTGTGGAGAGGTTCAATTCCTGCATGCAATGACGAATAGAGGGGTCTGGATTTTCAGCCACTTTCTCTTGCACTGCAGCAATGTTTTCAGCTGAACACTGTAAACAAGTATGCAATGGTTTTTTTCACATCCGCCACTGACCCAGTTTGTTTGAATTTACAAACAATTTTTCCAATTGCACTCTCAGTTGGTTGATTATGTTGACGAAACAAATTGCAAAGTGTGTGAAATGCATTTCTGTTTGAACGTCCATTTTCGTAATAGGCTTTGATAACACATTATTTGATTGTTAATCTTTCCATGGTTGAAATTGCCAAAGACTTAAGTTATTAAATCTGAAAGAAAAAGAAAAAAATCATTAGACATTTAAACTTAATTCACATTTAAAATTGGTCCAAGTTATTGGAACACCCTTTATAATTCCATCAGCTAAAATTTAACTTTAGTCCAATTAAGTCCTTCTAGAAGAAAAAATGCATTACACAAAATTTTTTCAACTTTGTCAATTATTTGCCTAATATCATTCTTGTAAAATACTATTTGACATCAGCTTGAACCATGACCATTTGTTAGAAAACTGTCATTGTTGCATTCATGTCATCTCCTGCCACTTCTGTTTGGCTAAAGACTAAGGCGTATAAATACTTAGCAAGGAAGTGATGTTGATAGGACATCAGTTGTGGTTAGTAACACACACTAGTAGACTGCTGTTACTGTTCAAGTAAACAAAAGTTTTTATCTAAAATATCAGTCGGATACAAATACATCAATGGAAGTAAATGAACAATTTCTTACAACTTTCCACACATAAGTTGGCAGCTAAACAAACTAAAAACTACAGCCATAATGCCTTCATTATCAATTTAAAGGAGCAAGTTAATAATAATATTAGATGAATGGGGAAGTATGTTTCTCATGTATGCTTAACTTTTCTTCCTTGTGCATCTAAATAAAGTACTAGCAACTACAGAACTGCAAATTGCCCTTTGCTCAATTTGTTTCTATTACATCTGATGTCTGTTCATCCAATTGCTATGATATTAGTACAATATGATTGTTATGGACTAGTTTCATGTTTTGTTTTGTTTTTTTTTATTTTGCATATATAATAGATACATATCTATATATTCTTTTTCTTTTTTCTTTTTTCTTTTTATAGGTGTTGTACTTGCTATATTTGAAAAAGCTGACTTAATAAGTCCTATCTTCTCCGAAGCTGGCATACTGCGAGTTGGTGTGGGTACAGTGTCGGCTGGCTGGCAAAACTTCTTGATCTGTATTGAGATGGTTTTTGCTGCCATTGCACTTCGCTTTGCTTTCCCGCATATGATCTATAGCTCGGGCCCAACGTCTAACCATGGCCGCACGGTGTCTCTCCAGAGCATCTCCAGCAGCCTGAAGGAGACGATGAACCCAGCGTGACATCATGCAGGATGCAATTCACAACTTCCATCCGCAGTACCAGCAGTACACCCAGCAAGGCATGAAAATCCCTCACGATGAAGAGGGTACTGAACCTGGGTGGCCCTATGACCAGCAGTATCCTTATCAGCAGCAGCCCCCTTACCCCAACGGAGCAATTCCAACCACCAGACCAATGCCACCAACTGGAGCCACTCCAAACAAGATGAAATTTAATGAAAAAACCACACTCCTGAGCTCTGATGATGAATTCCAATGAAGCCATTACTGAGAGGGTGGGGACCAGCCAACCAAGAAAACTCACCAACCCAAACCCTGACAACTTAATATTTCTGATTTGAGGGGCAGCGAAATGTCGGTTGTTATTAATGCAGTTGATATGAAAATTGTGTGCCATATGTAAAAGAAATCAAACTACAAACTTCTTATTTTCACTCCTTATAAATCCTACTAATATTATTAATGCTGCTGCTGCTGTGGCTGCTGGGGGCAGTTACTGAAATCAACTAATCAAATTCCAGATTATAGGTCACATGATACTTGGACTTACCAATCAAATGTTGTGTCTGTTCAAATGGTTATTGAATTGAGTCTAAAAACAAAAAAAAATATCAACCCCCAGAAGACAATTGGTGACCATTTTAGAAATTATGAAATAATCAAAGAAATATCTTAAAGATGAAGAAAAAATAAACAAAAAATATACTTGAACACCTCCAGAAACAATGGATGTTTTCTGTATATTATTTGTTTGTTATTGTTGATGTTATTGTTATTGTTTGGGGTAGGATATTTTTCTTCCTCCAGTGAAAAATATTGTTAAACCATTTGAAAATTTCTAAAACTGACAAAATAGACTAAAAAAATGCTATTTTGCTTAAGTTTTGCAATTTTTCTTTTTATGCCACCATTTTAAAATTTTTCTTGTTCACTTTTCCTTATCGGTTGATGTTTCATTTTCCTTCATTGATTTTTTTTTTTTTTTTTTTTTTTTTCTTAAATTCCTTTTCTCTTCATTATTTTTCAATTTCTCAAAAGCAAAAGTTTTTTCTTTTACATTTCTTTTTTTTTTTTTTTTTTTTTTTCTGGAGTACAAAAAAAAAATGAAAGAAAATTGGTCTGCTTGTGTGAGTGTCTGAGCTCTAAAACTAAAGTAAAATTTTAAAAATGAAATGTAAAAAAATGATATCTATAATGTGGAGGTTCCCCATATTTGGTGTGGTATATGGTGTGACATGCTGCTAATCAAATATTTTTTGGTAAAGAGGAAAGCAAAAATAAAATGATGGAAGAAATTTATTTGTTTAAAACAAAGCTATTGGTGATGATACTCTCTCCTGCCCACCAAACAAAGGAAATTTGGATAAAAATTGTGAGAATCCTATTTATGATGAAGTCAAATGAACAGATGTTCTTGATACATTGAACATATCAATTTAACAAAATGTTAAACTAAAAACACAAGTAGAAATATATACATAACTTACATAAAGTCAGGCATACTATTATTAATACTTTCCTTACCTACTAATATACAAATGTAAACAAGATTATGCATTTTTTTTTTTAATGTCTCCCTCTTCTTCCCTTGCCTTTTTCCCAAATGAAGTGTTTTCTCCCTAACTCATTAAAAAAAAAAATGAATGAATAGCAACACGAAAAAGTAGATAAATTTTTAATCAACCAGTTTCTTTGTCAAAGAAAAAAAAATTTGAATATTTTATCATCTTTATTTTGTACATTTTCTGGTCTTGGGAACAATCTCTTTCTGTACATACAGATAGAGAAAGAAGAGTTATTTCCCTTTGCTTCTGCAGACTCCCTATTGGACCAATAAAAAAGAATTTAAATACTGCATACAAGTCCATGAATACGCAATCAGTCCTCTTGTACATATATAATCAGCAAACTCTCTAGAATCATTTAAATAAAAAAAATAAAAAAATAACCTTTTTTTGAGTTGCATGTAGATTTGCTCATTCAAAAACGCTTCAAATGATATCTCTATTGTGTGTTTGTTTTTTTTATTCTCATTTTCATTTCTGACAAAGTCCCCACTTTGATTTTTTTTCTCCCTCCAAATTCTATTGTTTTGATGGTGCACCTCTTAACAAACAAACAAACAAACAAAAAAAAGCTGTTTCTGTTGAAAAAATAAAATTTTAAAAAATTGTATCTATATAGTTTTCTAGGCAACATTTAATTAAAAAAAAAAAAAAAACTTATCTGTTGGAATATTGCCAACATGCTAGATGATTCTGATCATTGAAATTGTAAATTTTATTTTCATGTTAAAATTGTCATTATGCTATGTCACCTTCATTCAGAAAAATAAAGCATAAACAAAAAAGATAAAAAAAAAATAATGCCAGCAATCATCATTCCTGTCTTGTGTTTGTTTTTTTTCTGTTACTACACCCTTGTAAAAAATTAATTGAAACAAAATGAATAATTCTGTTAATATTTACTTCTTTCTTTTCATATTTTTCCAATGAAACATGACCCAGTGCAATTGCTAGTACTTTGTATATCCATTCCACAAAGTCATTCCTTGCAGATTGACCAGATTCTCAACTGGATTTAAATCAGGAGAGTTTCCGGGCCAGTCTATAGTACTTTGATTTGCTCACTGGTAAGGCTTGCCAGTTGGTTTGTGCAGTGTTACAATTTTCATATGCTTCCTTGGAGTAGTGTCTATCGCAGACAATGACTGTAGGACAACTAATCAACAGTTAAGACAATAGTGTTTGGGTGTGATAAAAATCTGATGCAATCACAGATGACGCAATATTTTTCAAGGCCAAATAAATTTAATTATATACTCAAACGCATTCATATTACTGCACACCACTGCAAACAACCTAATCCGAAAAAAATAGAAATTGATTACACCCTGTCACCCCAGTGGGTCTAAAACTGACAATGGTGAAAGAAGGGAAACTAAAGTCATTGTTTCAATTAATTTGCACAAGGGTGTACTTGTCATATCTTGGAACTTTAAGAATGTATTTTTGTGTATGCATGTAAAATACATACAAGTTTGTAGCTTCATGAAGAAAAACATCTATTTTAAAAATATTTATTGAGATAAATATCTTCCTTGTCAATGCACTTAATTCAGTTGTGAATATTAATCACACAGCTGAAACATGCAAGTTTCAGGTCAAAGATTCTGTGTTAAGCTGCAAGCTTATTGATGCACTATCATTTATCTATAGACTTCTTTTTCTTATTTTTTTTTTGTTTGGGCATATCTTCCTCTTACCAAGTGTACAGGGACAATGTCTGAGAAGTAGAAAATCCATAATCTATATTATTTGTTTTGTAAATATTACATTATATAATGGCTGCCTACTCAACTTCAAGCATGACCACTTTCTTAAATTAACCGTTTCTTGGCTCTTTCATGAGCTCCCAAATGGCTTTCATGATCTACATTTCTTTCTGCATCAAATAGGCCAATGTGACATACAGGGTCAGTGTTCTTCCAAGGTGATGTAGGATGTTTTTGTCATGGGAATGAAGATGCCGTTCAGGACATTATATATGATTTAACATTAAATGCACACAAAGAGCCAGATTAGTTTTAGTTGCTTGCTATTTTTAGACAATCTCATGTCTGTTTTCACTATGGCACGTCATATGGTCTATGAGACCTCTGGAGAGAAGAACCTAACTATAAACTGGAGAACTGTGTCTAAAAGTAAATTTGTAGGTTAGAAATGTTCTTCATTTTTCTGGCATCCTGTATATTTTGGTGCCTCATTCAAGTGATATGAAAATTTTTCACAAACAAGATGGCACCATTCTAATCTGTTTAAAACTAAGTAATCTTTAGACTTTAGTTCTAATAACTGCATATTATGTTATAGGTAGTTTTTATATTGCATTTCTGCTTACCTAAGACTGACTCTCCATAGAAGAATTTTGTTAGTAGTCTATTGTCATCCATTTATGCTCAGCCCTTGATTATTCAATTACTATAGATTCTATACTTATTAATGCAAACAGATCCAATAATCTGAGGTGAATATGTTCCACTTGGTATTAGGTATCCTAGGAGAGAGTTTTGATATGACATCCATATTTCTGATGAATAAAGCAGAGTTGTCAAGATACATGCTCTGTATATACTGATATTAATAGAAAAAAAGTATATTATGATCAGACCAAACGCACCTTTGCAACTTACCAAAAGCTACAGTCTTTAGAAATTCTTTCATTGATCTCTTTGTCCAAAGAGTCATCTTTAAATATTACTATCAAGATACACAAGAGGGTCAACAACTCCCAGTCAGTATCCATTGACAGATAATTGGTTGTTCAGATACTGCACCTGATGCTGGGATATATATCACTTTCATCTTTGTGAGACAAGGTACATTAAATACATCAGAAAATATATCCATAACTTGTTGCATATCCCACTTGCAGTCTGTCTCCAAATTGACATTATCACCATATACCAGATCTTATCCTACAAGATCTCCCAATGTTCTTGTACATGCTCTAAAACTGGTCACATCAAACATATTTCCCAATGTTCTTTGCCTGATGCAAACACCTAAATTACAGTTCTGAAAATCATATTTCAGCATAGTAGCTGAAAAAGAGCGGAAGCAGGTATGTCTCCTAGTTTGATGCCCAAGTTAACAAAAAACAGGTTCAAAAAACAACATTACCAAAGTTAACCTGTTCATTCATCTGATAAAGAGATCCACAAAAGATTCAGGACAGCCCAATCTCAGCAGTACATTCTACAGTGCTTTTTTGTTGATGATGATGTCAATGGCTACAGGGAGATCAGTAGAAAGGAAGTCTGTGTTTAATGGATTTTTCTTGGTTGGTGGCCGCAAGAAACGAGTACCTTATGCAGCATGAAATCCATATTGAGTCTCTGTAAATGAAATGGTATAAAGATATATAGTAATACGCGTAATACAAATAGTAAATACGTGAATAGCACAATGCTTTCTAAGTATATCTGGAAAATTAAGAAC